GAGCGAACGCTGAACGCTTTGTGAACGGTGAACGCGAGCGCACGGTGAACGGTGAACGCAAAACTGTGAACGGAGAGCGAACGGTGAACGCACGCTGAACGAACGGTGAACGCACGCTGAACGAACGGTGAACGAACGGTGAGCGAACGGAAAAATGGGAAAGTAGAACGTTTCAGGGACTGTAGCTGCTTCCTCGGCTACATAATTAGGTTACATAATTGTAAACAAACACAAAACCCGGGTATATGTGAAACGCAGTTAAATGCAGTTAAAGACTGATTTATATTTTGCTAACTTTTTTTTAAAATTTAATATAGTGTATGTTTCAACATTAAACGACGAAAAGATGTTTAGTTTACGAACGCAGGTCGCTGGTTCACACGCAATGGATCTCTTGTAATTTCGGCCACAATAATTTAAAAAGTATATCACCAACATGACCAACATAGATAAGATGAAATAATTTGAAAGATCCGATATGACTAAAAAAACAACTAGAATGAAAATCAGAGACAAAAAATGTTTACCCAGAAAATGAAAGATTTCTTTCTTCACGCAAGCTAGTTAAACATTTCAAAATAAGAATAATAGCTGAAGTTTTCCTATTGCAGAATTATTCTTATGGCTTTATATGATTACCGCACGTCTGGCATGTCCCACCCTAATTTTCTACGCTTAATTCATTCATCATGTTCATTTGACCATTTCTGATTTTAAAAAAATGTCGCATGCAGATAAATTGTGAATCGGAAATCAATTTCTTTAGAACCAAATCAATATTTGTTGCGAGAAGTAAATAATTCGATAGCTTTTGAAGATTTCAACATACATTTTTGTAACACGCATATTTGTAATAACCACTTTATATACAAAACAAAATTTCATTCTCTTATATGGTAATATGGATGTCGTAATAGATCTGACTGAATGCTTGACATGCCTGTTTCAAAAACGTTTCCTAAGTTATCTTAAGATATGCCTAAGTTATAACTTTAGAAGTTCCTAAGATTTATCACAGCTTTATCACGAAACAATCTTATCTAAAAAAAAATTATAAGTCATTTCTTAAGTTGTGCCTTTAAGGACTAATAAAATAACATTCCCGCTCTATATACAACTCTCAGTATGGTATATATTTTTAGATTCAAAAAGGAAGGGTGCGAGGATTGGGGATTTCCCCCACTTTTAAAGGATTTGGACACAAGTATGCTTAACTTTGCGAAGTGTGTTGCTAGATCTAAGCATTCACAGACACACCCTTTTAAGCCATCTTCCCTTCCGAGCACACGCTATTTGTATTTTAATTTTTAAACATTGTTCTAGGTGTTATACATTTACTTTATTTTGTTCTTATAAGGTATCTACATATAAATAAAATTTTAAAATGAATGCTTCGTAGCGAACACATGCGAGTTTATATTTTTCAAACAATCTTTGCCAATTACTTCACTGCATGTACACGTTAGTTGTTTGTGCTGTGTAGAGCAACTATCAGAGTACACAATGTATTTCAACATCGAGGTGCCCGCGGCTCTCTGTGGCCACGTGTATGTAAACGAGGACTGGACTACAACACCTAAGACACAAAGCGGCAGAGATGGATGAAACTGTTTGCTATATTACAAATACATGACTTGTATATTTGAAGGAATTTTCATTTATGTTAATGTTTATTTAATTCTATAAATAATAAATGGACATTCACAAGAGTGATGGTAAAAATAATATGTGCGTAGCATGCGTAGTAATTACAATTATTTACCGAAGTCCCCATTCAATTACAATTGCAGATGAATTAAAATACAACACGGGATAGAGCAATACTTTTTTAAATGTATTGTTGCGTGAACAGACAAAAATAGCGATTAAAATTTAAAATGATTTTTATGCACCAGTGTTTGGAATTAAGATTATAAAAGATCGGTAAAGTAATCTTACTGATTCGATATAATTAAAAACATAACTTTCCATTAATTAATAGCTCTTTGTACAAAATTGACATTATACGCGATCACAAATACTAGCTTTGTTTATGGCCACAGGTGGCTAGTACACTGGTGACCTCGATCAACAGCGTGGGATTCGCGCGTTGGGTTACATAACTAAATATCGAGCTGAACATGGAGACCGTAATATGCATACAGCTAATGATCGTGAATTATTCAATGCATACAGTTTAAAATCACTTACAAAGTTTGTTGTAATAATAAACGTAGAAAGATAGATTTAATATTCTCCGCTTTTGAACACTATTAATCTAATTTAAGAAGAAAAAGAAGAAAAGAAAGACAAGTTGTAATAAATAATTTAATAGTGAACCATAAACCACGTTTTAAACCTTATTAAAAAGAAAATTAACATTAAATACCGCAGGGTATATTATTGATAGCAAGTCTGTTTAAGTTATACACATGAAGAGGTCTGATTTCCTTGCCGAATGAAAAACGTTACCTGGCCTGCTTTCTAATACGTATTACGCAATACCCATGGTATACTCGAACAAAACAACATTTTCATTAGATCAAAAAGGTGTAAAAGAACAATTTTGTTCCCAAGATCCAGATCGAAATATTTACCGTTTTTGAGTTATAAAGCAAAAACTTTTAAGGGCCCAGGATCCCGAATTATAGGGGCCAGCCCCTTTTAAATAGTATAATATGAAAGCCCTTGCAATTATGCACAACTTTTATTCTACATGTTTTAACAAATTATTTTTAGTTTTAAAGATATAAAGGAAAATATGTCAAAATTTTTGCTCTTTTTCGCGTTCTAAATTTTGACCCCTCTCTAGCGCCATTTTTAATGCAAAAATCAAGAAAGAAAAACCGATGTGCACAACTTCAATGCTTCTTCTTTTCAATTTCAAATGGTATTGTGCTCCAATTATTACAGTTTCCGAGCCTTTGTCTGGAAACCAGAGGCATAAAAATTTCAATCAAAGGGGAATAACTCGTGAACAGAAGGTAATTTCCGAATTGTATTACAGTATTCTGAAAGTGTTTTGTAAAGTCTAAAAGCTCTGAAAATTTGAACAAAATCTGTTCAGAAATTAGGAAGATATGAAGCTTCAAAGTTGGCGTCTAGGAAAAAAAAAAAAGAATAATCTTAATCAGTACAATCAGTAGAAGGTCTTCCGTTGGAAACGGAAGACCTTAACGAGAGAGAGAGAGATTCCGCTACAATTGTATATACTTGTAAATATATGTAACTGGGCGTATGATTAAGAATCGATAGAATAATACAAATATGCATCATCAGGAAAAACTAAAGACTTTTTTTTATTTCTTCTATGACATTACCCTGTACACCATTCCGTTTGTTCCTAAAAATAGTACTATTTCTTTTTTAAAATGCGGATTCTTTTTATTTTTCCCGATAAAGAAAGGCAAGTACCATGGATATTCATTTTGAAATTTTCAGAAATGTATCATTCATTGTTTCAACATGAATATATTGTCATACATGGGAGTAATAATTGTAAAATAACAGTCATTTCCGAGTCGAGTTTCTCTGACAGCTGATTCTCAGAATCTACCGAGTGATTTTGTCGCCCTAGTCCCTTAGGTAAAATCCTCTCTAATTTGTATTCAATATCAGGAAAAATTGACTTTCAAGCAACTGGAATCATTTTCGTCCTTTGAACGTTAACAACTTTTTCTGGACGCAGGTGCGGGTCCGTGATTTTTTTTCGAAGGAATGGGGGGGAGATGGCACAGTCATCAGTAAACAAAAATTCCATCTGAGAAACTTGTTGACAAGCTAAATTTTCTTTCCCAAACCCGAAAATCTTATTGCGGGGGGGGGGGGGGGGGCTTCAATTCCTAAATTTAATTCATGAATATGCCTGGTCTTCCTACCAACGTACTAACTAAAAACACAAACAGTGGTCCAAGGTCATTTCATTTCACACTTACATTACCATAGATTTGTACGTATATAAATAACTCAAATTGCCGCGAAGAGGACTGGACCCTCCCTGAACCCCCTCTTAATCCACGCGAGTAAACGTGGAGTAAATAAGATATGGAGTTTTCGAGCACCATAAGTTTTTTCTAAAAAGCCTACTTTTATGATGAATGCATAATGAATGGTTTTAAAGTAAATTATGTTAAAGTGTTAAGACTGTAATTGCGCAGATTATTGCGGAATGAAAACCCAAGTTAGCCACCGTTAATTTATAAAATTATATTGTTTTTAAATGATACCATGAAAGAAAACCTAAAAAGAAGTCCATAGTATCACCAAGCAGGAGATTATGAATATAATAATGTTAAGGTTCGCCCAAGAATATTTCTTAAATTCAAAAAGGTAATTAAAACTGATCGAAAGATTTTCAAGACTATAATTTAATACTATACATTTATTGTCTGGGCTCGAGGGGAGCATGCGTTTTGTCGGACCCAAGAACCAAACTGTTTGCCTGAGGCCGTTAGGCAGTTTGATTCGAGGGGTCGACAAAACGTTTTGCCCGAGAACACAGTTAATAAATGTTTTGTTATACCTTTTATTTATTTATTCAATATCCATAAATTGTAAATCAGACACAAGGTTTAACTTTGAAATACATTACATTCAAGACAATTTGAAGATATCTTTTTCTAGTCATAAAACTTTTTTTTTTACCACGTACCCTAAGCTGCTAAAAAGGGCCTTTCGACCTTTATACTGTTACATATGAAGGAACATATACAGGCATGCAATTTTCTGGATTTTAAAATGAAAAAAAAAATACTTGGGTAACGTAAATTAGGTCGGGTAATGAAGCATTTTTTCTTGAGTCTTAACAATTAATTTGTCGTTACCTGTATATATACAGCGATAAATGCGGATTGCCCAAACGTGTTCTTAAGTAAAACGTTTAAAACTATTTTTTTTTTTTGATACAGACTATATTCACTAACAATTCCTGCACATGTATGGCAATTTTGTAAAAACACTGGAGACGTGAAATAACAGTCAAAATTTAATGAAATATTTTGAATTAACTTGTATTTATAAATATATCACAAACCTAAAGTTCGATGTAAATTTGTCTCTCTTTTAAGCCGAGATCACAAAGCTAGTGACACGAAATTACAAGCAGCATTTTTTTAAAAATAACATCCTACAACAGGCCACTTCCTTCCATTTTAGAACTCGATCTTTCATTGTCCTCATTGGAATTTAGGTTAGTATTGTTGTACGTTGTAAAACCATTTGTACTCTTCTGTATCTTTTTTAGATTTCGCCCCAGCATGGTTCCCATTTCCCGCCTGAAATTGTTGTTTAACCAACCGTAAAAGAATGGATTAATACATGAAGAGCTCATGGCAATAATTTTCAATAATAGATCCACCAATTTGTAGGCTGCACCAAGTGTTTGAAATATATCGGGACTAAAGTACAATGTGATGCTAAAGAGCTGGAAGGGAAGCCAGGTTAGAGTAAACAGAATCGTTATGGAGACCAGAATCCTCGTAATGTGGTAATTTCTTCTGGTCTCTTTACGCTTCACAGGTCTTCGTTTGAGTACTTGATAAATTTGAAAATACAAAACCGATATTAAGGTTTTGGGGATCACAAATTGAAAAGCAAATCCAAATATTGTGTATATTCTGCTTGACCTTTCTTCCCAAGCTTCAAGACAGAATGGGCGATATATTCGCTCATCAATAAAAGGTCGCATGTCATATTCAGCAATTTGAAGTTCGGTATGAACAATGGCGGGCACTGTGAAAGCCATCGCAAATAGTATTATGATAACCACAATACAAATAGCTTGCTTCTTCGCGATCTTTTTTCGAAAGGGGAATACAATAACGATGTAACGTTCAATAGCTATCATTAGCATGGCGTATGTAGACACAAAGACTGGCATTGTAAACATTGGTATAATTACACGGCAAAGAACTGGTCCGAATTTCCAAAAATCTGTGATCCCGTAATGAAGCTGGAATGGTAAATTAAAAGCACACAGCATAATATCAGAAAGAGCTAGGGTACAAATGAATATGTTAGTTACGGTATGAAGTTGCTTGTTGATAATGATAACTATCACTATAGCCAAGTTTTCAAGGAATCCAAAGAAAATCACAATAGCAAATACAAGGATGAAAGTAATTTTCCAGGATTCTTCACGGAGAAGATTTGGCATAGATAGGTCCACGTCAAATCTATCATAACTACTGAACGGAGTAATGTTCAAATGGCTAAAAAGGTCTGCATCAAAGGAACTATTCATTTTTCTTGACATCGTGGAATTGCAAGTTACAATTGTCCAAATTTGTACATCTAAAAATACAAGTAAAATTCATGTGAATTGCGAGACAAAAATTATTCAAGCAAATTAATAAGTAAATCGACGTAAATGAAAGCAATTATGTACATTTACCTGATGTGTTAATCCAGTGAATAAATTCCAAATTTGTTCCAAAAGATTTCTCAAAGTGATTTTGTTAAGTTAAATCTCAGAGACTAAACAGAAGTGGTTGATGCAGGAGATATATAGATTCCTCTTCCGATAATGAGAGGTAATAAATCGAATTCCCACCAAGCTCATTTGCTTTTTGTCGCATTCGAGGTTAATTCCCTGTAAAACGTGCGAAACAAATATCCAATGAAAATTGTGCGTCCGATTACAGTTATCACTATTTCAATACCATCCTCTACAAAGTAATTTTAAAAAAATCAATTTCAGAGACAAAAAATAAGCAAGAATCCTTTTCTTTATATTTGTAAATTAATCTTTTAAAAAAATCAATAAAATTATTATTAAATATAGGGGATATATTATGCATTCGAACATGTACTACAACAGAATGTGCGAGAGTCAATCAATCTTACTTATAAGTAACGTGAAGCTCTTATATATGTAGGCGTTTTTGCTGCCGAGAATTAAATCATTCCGTTGAGTCAACGCATTATTTATACTGTACTTACAAGTTTCCATTGATTTTTCATTATACAGGGCCCTGTTGAAATTATCATAAATTAGTCTAAATAGAAACAATAGGACATATAAGGATAGATTTATATTCCCATTTAGGCTATTTTAATCAACTATTATAATGTTCTTTATTTTATTTTTACATTAAATAATTTTCGCATTTATCTCTGCTCCTGAGTATTAAGCACACAACCTTCGTGCATAATTATAAGAAAGGGCGTTTTCTCCAAAATAATGAATTTCATGGCCCTTGGGTTAAGAGGTTCAGAAGTTAGGGTGATTACATAGTGAAAATGCATTAGTTCTTTAAAATTTTTCTTCTCTGCTCCTGGGTACTAAGTAGATAAATTAAGTACATATTTATGATGAGCAAGAGTGTCTCCATGGCCGTAAGAACCGGGGGAGGGGGGAATAATTTTGCCGATATTTAGAATACTATAGAAAACATAGCTACTTTATGCTTGTACCCCCTCAATAATAGTTTCTGATGCCTTTTTTTGCTTGTCAAGAAATTTTTGATAGTGGCCCATATCTGAAAAAGTTTTGTCCCCCCCACCCCACCCCCAAACTGAAATTGCTTCCTACGGGCCTGGACTGTGGAGCACCACTCATTTTTCCTTCGTTATGAAATAAAATCTGGCAATTAACGCTTAAGTTCTCTGAATTTACAGACATTTTCAAGACAAGCTGATTTTTGTTTCTAGAAATATTTTTTATTTACCTATTTAATATAGTTTCGGTTGTTTAAACGAAGTAAATCGATAAACAGCATCTTTTTGATAACTCAAGCCCCTCTAAGGCATTTTATCATCTTATTGCAGAACTTTTAGAGGACAAGCACCAAAAAAATTAGAAGGAATATAGAGTACAAAGCAGATTTTCAGTTCAAGGTGGGGTCAAAGCTGTCATAGGTTGAGAAACACAGGTGACCATCATGGCTCATGGGCCTTTTGTTCATTTTAAACTTTACTGCAAACATAGTATTTTCTGGTATTTTTTCTTTTATTAAATCAATAGATATCGAATAAAGGCTAGAAACATGATGTTAGTCTTGAAGATCTTTCATGATAGTTACTTAGGGCATTTAATTGTTGATTGGCACTAATTTTATTTCTTCAGACTATTAGGATATGAAGGCTCGCTTAAAGGTGAAGTCACTGATATAATGTAGCATTATAGAACTGAATACATTTCTGATAACATTGTTCCTTCCGCCCGAATAAGTTTAATTTCCGGATCATTTTTCATAATAAACTCCGACCCCGGCATCCCCCTGTTTCTCATTTGTGCTTCAGAAGAGGGGAAATGGATGGCGCTGAAATCGTCACAGAATGGAGTAATTATTCAATGTTCTTCTGATAAGAAGGAAAAAGAAATTGAATTTTCTTTTTTTGTGTGTGTGTGCTGTATGGCAAGATGCTTTTCATATAGAGGGACAAATTCAAATTGAACATCTCTGATACTGTTATTAATGTAATTTATAAAGTAAAATTGGTTACAGTAATAAATATCGTGATATTGGACATAGACTTGCTAAAATATGTAATGGTTAAATTCAACATTCAGATTTTTTTTTCAATGAAAAATAAAATGTAATGATAGAGACATGTTTATGTCTCTGTTTTTTTTTTTTTTTTAATTTTGTTGCCAAGTTTCGTGCAATTCGGTGACGTCATGACAAATTAGCTAGGTATGTATAATTAATCGTTAAATACAACTGAGAACATTAAATAAAGTTTGATCTTAATAATCATTTATTTTACCACTAAGGTTTCATGAGAATACATGACATGTACATATCACTAGTAGGCAGTATTTCACCTACTAAAAACAACTGTATCGTGATAAATAAATGCGAAATTTGTACAGAGGTCTCCCAAAACTAATTTCTGTATACGATACTTTTGAAAAATTATCAATCTAAATTATCACTTTTCTTATGGTAATGTATAGGGAATCCTGAAAAAGATCTAGACTCAAAATTAGTTATACTTCACTGATGAAAGTTTATTAAAAACTGAATACATCTAAGAACTTATTTCTTACGCAGTCAATGTTATATACATGTATACATGCATGCTTGTGCCTGATAGATACATAGCTGCAAATTATAAACAGATATGGCTATTGTCTGTGTTAAATAACACATTGAAAAGAATTTCATATCTCATATATTTTCAAAGATTCACTCCTTTTAACTTTCGTAATCAGAATTTTATTTTGATACAAAATTTAAGAAAAATTAGTATACTTTTGTTTTAACCGTTCCATACAAGCCTACATAGACTGACATATTTCATACCAATTCCTTTGACTACGGATTATGAATGTTTACTCCTCCTAGACACCTGATCCCACCTCTGGAATTTCAGGGGTTCGTGTTTTATACCCTGTTCGCAGATTTCTATTGTTAATATACATGTATAAGCAATATATGTGCAGGCGACACAAAAATATAAAATTTCAGTACTATTCCACATTTTGTTATAAAAAGAAGACTGAACTGTTATATAGAAAAATATTTTTGGAATACTACTATAGAATAGAAATTTTCTTTCGAGTAAGAAATACAATCTTATTATTATAGACAATAAAGGCAAATGTTTGTTTGTTTGTATGTTGATTAAAGTCCCTCTCGAGAATTTTTCACTCATATGGAGACGCCACCACTTGCCACCACAGAGCTACAAATTTTGACCTATACTCGGCACTTACGGCCATTGAGCAGTGAGGGATCTTTTTCGTGCCAGCACCTACTGCGACACGGGACCTCGGTTTATACGGTCTCATCCGAAAGACCGGTCTCCACGTCCCACAGTGGGATTCGAACTCGCGACGTAAGGATCAACTTCTTACTTCGCGACTCTAGAGCAGACGCTCTAACCACTGCGCCACGCGGGCGACTAAAGGCAAATGTAAAGTTAAATACGATTTATTTTTTGTTGTTGGCGAACGAGGCCACGGCCTTAGGGCTGTCGGATTATAAATTGACTGGCCCTAAAATCAATGCATTACGTAATGGATAAATAACGAGATGGTGTTGAATAGTTTAGAGAAAACATTACCTCCGAGGGCCGAAGGCCCTCGGAGGGATGTTTTCTCTAAACTATTCAACACTATCGAGTTACTTATCTTACTTAAAAAACTTCCCTACTGTGGACCCCAAAGAAACATTTACCCATTCATATATCCAACTTTGCTGTAATACAATAGGATCTAGCCCATTTAGATATCCAACAGTGACACAATACAATAGCCTAATCGAACACCCCTTTTATTCATGGACTAGAGAGCATGAAACTGCATGGTGTTAATGTCATTTCAAACTTTTCCATTGTACTGAACAGTCATGAAATCAGATGAAGAATAGTTTTAAATCCAATGTAAAATTAGAGCGGTTCAGATAGTGTTCAGAATACTTTTGACCTGAAAGCAGAAGAAAACTACAGAATTTTGATAAAAGGTTGGAAATCTATCATTACATATAAGATGATGATTTGTTGGGGAAAATGTTTGAATCTTATGGACTTCCACTCGGACAATACTTCTAGTAGTGCTAGAACAGATGAAAAGATTGTCGGTGTTATGCGGAACCTGCTTTAAAAATATTCCATATCAAGATCTGCAATAAAGAGGTATCAAAAATAGATTGGCTGTCAATTTATTAAATTGTTTTGGGAAGTATGCTGGAAAAGTATAAGAACAGAGATGAACCTCGAATAATCTGAGAGGATTTGCTGATAACGGACCCCTGCAATAATATTCAGCAACAGGAAGTGATGTAGTTTAAGGTTCAAGGTGAAAATGTATTAAAAAGCGTGTCAAAATGTGACACTTTCAAAATTTAAGACCGAAAACATTCTGTTAAAAAACTATGGATAAGTATTGGATATTTTGTTGACGACAAGAGTCTAACAGTGTGCAGATTCGGAGGAATTGTTATTTTTGTGAGCATTGGAAGTACATTTTTAAACACGATTCTAATGTTGTGATAAATGCAAAGTGATTAATTCTGTGTGCATTGGACAAATTCTAATAGTGTGACAAATTCGGAGTAATTGTTTTTATTTGCATTGGAAATACATTTTAAACTCTTTTATCTCTTTTTTTCATTGCTTAATTATGGGAGTATGCGCAGTTGGATATTTAAATATCCAACCGATCGGCAGTTGGATATTTGAATATCCAACTGATGGCCAGTTGGATCTTTAAATATCCAACTAGTGCTGGTTGAATCGGTAAGATATACGTAGACTAATAACAATGGGTGACATCATTGAAGTTTTTTAAATTAAACATTACATTATGCATTACATTAAACATTATACCACATTATCATTGAAGGGCTACTAGTCAGAACATTGTTTTGATCAATTTCAACCACTGTACAAAGTGGAACCCTTAAAGATATCACTACACATAATTCAAACATTATGCACTCCATCATTATACATAATTATACCCCGCTCCGAAGGAGAGGGGGTATACTGTTTTACTCTTGTGTGTCTGTCTGTCCGTAACCATTTCTTCGTCGCAGTTTTCTCAGCGACTACTCATCGCAGATGCTTGAAATTTTAACACACTCTTTTTTTAGACATGTCGTAGTGTGGAATTCATTTTTGTACGGATCCGATGTCAATTTCCTGTTTATATGTGCATCTGTGCGTACCACACATAACAAATTTTCGTCACAGG